AGTACCCCAAAAGTTCGTGACTGATTATTTTGTGCTAAATCATCCCATTAAGGTAAAGTTCAGTTGTTGATGGATTTCGAAATCCAGTCATGCGGTCTCTGCGTGCATTTTCACAGCGGAGCGTGCAAACAGGCACACACGCTTGCAGGGGAAAAATAAGCTCACCTTCCCCTTTGCAGGCGCGTGCACCTGGCGTTTTATCTGCTCATTTTCTCACACTAAATAATATAGTGGTTCACCGCCTCTCGCAGCCGATGGCTTTCTTATCCGAAATAGAAGGACGGTTAGAGGCAGTTGGCACGATAAATCGCTATTGTAGGATTTATACGACTGGCTTAACAGAATTCCGTGACCTGACAGGCGCTCCGTGGCGCCTTTTCCAAGGAGGGTACCCCTATAACGCCCTATCGAGCAACAACATTCCGTCCCAAACGCCTTCCTCGCCCGCCCGCCCACAAACGGACGACCGTTTCTGACGCTCGTATTCATTCATTTGCTGAGCAAATTATGAAGCGAAGGGATTGGTATGAAGCGGCCGTGATGCTGCATGCATATATGGGTACACATATGCAGCCGTACCTTCGGTAGCGGTGATTGGCAAGATGCGTACGGGAAACTCGTCCGAAATCGACTTTCGAACGGAGGCTTTTTCTTCGCCCGACCGTTTCACTCCGTTCCTTCGCCATTTCCCCCACTACATAGCGCCCTATTAGCATTTAAGGCCGAGTGGGACAACGTGCCAACTGCCTTTAAAGGGAAGCGTCACATTCGTCATGCTTTGCACACTTCAACTCTGGGTCGCAGTGCTGTCGAAGCCACACTTACCACAGCTACACGCAACGTTGTTGAGCGTACATCCTGATGGGTCGCAGATCGGCTTGGAGGACTGAGGGGGGGGGGGGGGGAGACGTTTTGCAGCTTTGCTACTTCCCATCGTCATGCTCATTGCAAAAGCTGATAGGTATTCTTTGCAAGAGTTGACAAGTGGTTTAACCTAACTTTAACTGATATCACTTCTTCACTTCACGGCTTCCCAAGATTACACAGACCCCTACTTGATGGCTCTACACGTTGATGGTAAGTAGCCAAAAGGCAAAATGCCCACACTCCCCCCTCCCTCCGAAGCCCAAGTGCGTCTTTGCTGGCACGTCCACACTATAGCATAGAAATGATTCGATCGCTTTTGCTCAGATGTGACTTCGATCTGAAAGAAATCCTTCGTTCATGAAAATCTTCTGTATCCCATTTGGACCTAACTGCTCTCCGGCTGAAGCCAAATCGTGCAAATCCACTCGCTCTCTAGCCATGACACTTTTCCTAAGGACGTTACTCTTCAGATGTGAGGATATGTGGTGGTACATTATATATGTTATGTTACGCGATATAAATTGACATTGCGACAACGGTGACCGCCTTACTGAGTCAGTTAACCAGGCCTTGCAGCTAAGCCAAATATTATCGCACAGACTGCAACTGCTGCCCAGGGCACATCATTGGTTGGGGATTTTAGTCGACTCTATACGACCCCCCCTTTTTTTGGGAGTTGGTACGACCCCCCCCCCCCCCTCCCTTTACAACGTCCAAGAATACCCTCTGAGATTAATATCACAAGCGCGGGGTTCAACAACATCACTCGTTTTGAAAACACGGCAAGGCACTATTCAACTATTATTACTACCCCAGTTTTCCGAAAACAGGCCGGATCTTGATCGACTTTTTTCTACGGGGGTAGATTTGGCTGAAAGTTGGGTTCTAGGGGTAATTCGACCTCCTGAACATATCATCCACTTGGCCTGAAAGTGCCTGGCCACAGGCGCCGGCGCTAAAAACCCTAAATCACCGAATTCGCTGAAAACTTGTTCCCAGGGGTAGTTTGACCTCCTGAACACGAATATCACATCCGCTTGGCCTGAAATTGCCTGGCGCCCGCGGGTGTCAGGTGCCAGCGCCAAATTACCCTAGGTCACCAAATCCGCTGAAAACTTGTATACGGAGGTTATTTGACATCTTGATTACAAATATCACATTCATTTTTGGCGCTGGCGCTGATGGAAGACGCTGCGATCATCTGCGCTCTGCTGAGGCTGAGGCTGAGCCTGACCTGCAGGAAATCACTCTTTCTCCCTAGGCTCAGCCTTAGAAAAGCGCTAATGCCGAAAAATACATGCAGGTTTTTACCGATTTTGATAAAAAAGGGTGTGCGCCAAATCAGCGCCTAATGGCGCCAAATGGCGTCAGGGCTGAAAACTAACTCGGTATTCGTGATCAGGACATCAAATAACCTACTATGCAAATTTACACCGAATTTGGTGAGAAAGGTGGCGGCGCCAAACTGGCGCCAATCGGCGCCTGGCGCCAGCGCCGGAAACGAGTAGTCGCTATATTCGTGATCATGAAACCGGATCACCTCTGTGAGCAAAGCTTCGGCAAAAAAATTCTTTTGACTTTTTAGGGCGGTAATAGCTGAACAGTGCGCACAGCGGAAACAGGTCCTCGAAACACCATTGGAGTACAGTCAGTCCATTCCTCATAAAGTGACCGATTCCAAAAGAGAACGAGTGTGGGGCGTTGTCTACAGTGTTTCTCCCTCTTGCGTTCGACAGACTGGTTAACTAGTGCAGATGGAAGAAAGGCTGTCCATACGTGAACCATCGCCGGAAACGCTCATATCCATTTCCATCAAGGAGGGCAGAACCGCTCATGTGCTCCGATAAATTCGGAAGCAGGCTCATTTTCAGCATGTTAAGACAATGGAGGCTAGCAGTGGATACTTCTTCCTCTCAGTGCTATTGTTGTCAGCGAGCTCTACTGTAATCAACCGCAAAGGTTAGTGGGAAGCTCTACCGTTTGTGCTGCAAATCGACAAGGTATACCTAGTCCACTGTAACGCAGGGCCATAAATTCCAATGAAGGCACAGCCAGGAAACCTGAAGCTTGGTTAGAAACTCTACCCCACTCAGCACTGACCCAACCCTTTCCGGCAACCATCTCTTTTTCCAAATAGCAACATCAACCATCTTGCCTTAATCCTTACCATTAACACTCTTCTTCGCTGCTAAGGCCTGGGCGTGTCAGGAGGTTGGATTAGGCGCGGCGCCAGCCCAATTTTCACCATTTGTTGTCGCTTGCCCACCTTCACCACCTGGTGAGGGGGGAAAGCGACTCAGCCCCGTAACACGCCTAGCATCCGTAGCGAACAAGACTATTTCTCGAAAGGACTTCAGTATTGACCTACTGCCTTTCTTGGCAGAAAACCGCAGAGCTTCTGCACGCGAGGCATCCGCTCTTTGCCCATTCGTTACCATCTCATCACTGATAAAATTAGCGCATATACTGTTGGTTGCTATGGTCTGCTGTCAAAACGAAATCGGTTCGGCACATAGTTTGAAACTGTCACGAACTTTGAGGCTAACCATACGTCCCCTAAAAGCAGGACATACTCAGAATTTCTGTAATCA